TCTTGTTGTATCCGATGCTGACATACCTGTGTGTTGGTTTATTTTATTGCCTCCTGGTAGATCTGGTTTATTCGTATCTCGTCAAGCACGTAACTTATTTAATTATATTGCCTGTACTACTAAGATTTCGATTCACATCAGTAGGCGCAACAAACGCCAAGCAAACGGCGTGATTGAACTACTTAAAATCTTTAAGCAGCGCTTCATTTCAAGGTTAAAAGCCGAGTTTGACTTTTTCAAAATGAGTAATAAATTACAGTTTTTTATCAATAAGTGGGTTATATGCGATGCGCTACGTACTGTGCACATTGACGAGCTTGCTGTTTGCTTGGAAGTACGCTCGTAGTCTGCTACAAGTTAATGTCCATTTTTATTCTTATTCCTGGACCAGTCTGTTGTATTGGTATTGTTTTCACGGGTAAGGTGGTAACAGTTGAGAAGACCCACAGGTGCTGGTGTACCCGGCTTTAAGTCAGCTTCGTGGGGTGACACACTTTATGTATATCACGTTGATTTTCACTTCAAGTTTTGGTCGGTTTCCCGATCCTTTTCTTTGTCTTCTCGGTTCATTAAAAGTCTGTCTTCACAATATGTTTTACGTAGTAGTTTTATTCGATGTCGTGTGTTTTATTTCTGCTGTGGGACGGGTAGAGGGGATCGTAACCTCTTGTGGTGAGGACCGGTGTGACCGGCCTACCTGCAGGGTCCCATAGCTTAACGTTATTGATTTCCCTTCGTCGTATTTGTAAACGTTCTTGTGTTTGTCCAACTGCGATTCAAAAATCACTATTATATTCTAACGTTGTTACTGCCCCCCTATTTTTCTTCCACCCCCCTGTATTGACAGCGCATTCCCCGGGAATGAAAATATATAATGTGCGAGGGAACGAGAAACAAACTTCTTTTATTAATATCACTCGGGGTCGCAGATTACGTCGGAGACTGGTCCAGAGACACGGTACATACATTTAAATACACTTTAGTTTGTTACAGCGAGCTGTTGTTTACTTAAAAAACTTATTTCATTGTATCATTTTCCAATAAGGATACGCAATCAATAAAGTTATTTACTTTAAAGTGCCCCCCCGCAATATCTTTACTGAGAACATAACTCAAAATTTACCATCTTCTATTGTGTACTAGATCAAATATTCTTTGTCCAAGCTTGATCTTGCGGGTGAGTTACCACGAACTGATCGAAGAGCGCTGGTTCGTGTGCCAATTTATAGCAGCGCGACTAAAACGAGGTTGAGCCAGTGATGGGTCGCAGAATTGTATTGTGTGTGTGTGTGTGTGTGGGGGGGGGGGGGTCGTGTCGCATGATACACCAGTTGGACTTGGTGAACCAAACGTTCGACAAATACAATAATAATATTTTCATCCATCGTCAAAACGCGTTTTGTCTCCGAGAGCGTCCGCCCCTACTGCTTCGATAGGGGTACGTTTTCAACGCACACGCACACCCTAGTGTACCAACCATAGGCGATTTTATGTAACGTATGACAAAATGTGTCAAATGAAATCAAACACGACGCAACGGATATCCAAAAAACTGTCATATCAAATATTTATTAACACTCACTCGATAAAGCGAATTAATAGTTACAAACTAAAGTGAAATAACAAAAAAATATGAATGAACTACTAATAGAAAAAAATGAACGAAAATAAAGTAAAAGTAAGCATACAGTTATAGCAATTAAATCGGCAAATGTTGCTGTCCAAGCATAGTTGAACACTGTTCATTGTAGTCATCTGATTTTACTTTCCCACCCAGTGCAACGTTTTACAACAAGTGGATAT